TCTAAATTAAATTTAAATTAAAACAACATTTTTTGTTTCTGCTGATCTTAAAAGATCTTAGAAGTCCCCAAAGTATCCAAAAGCCCTATTAACAGTCAGATGTTGGGGCCAGATTTTACTAACAAGGGCTTAAAAATACCGGCCATTGAGTTAGCGGTGGTCTTTGAAAGCAGTCATTCAGTCATATTATGTCCTTTGCAGTAAACTGTGGAGAGAACAAAATTCAACACTTTGGCTGTCAGAGCCCTGAAAAATGGTCCATAAAAATACCAAGGAAAACTGATCTGTCAGCCTTAGCGATTAGAAAATAATGATCCTCCATTTAGACAAGATTATCAATGTACAGATTTGCCTGTTCAACCCGCTCTCGTGTTGGGCTGCCTCAGGGATGACACATGCTCTTTAGACCCCGAATGTTCCTAGAGATAAACTCATTTGCTCACCTAATCTCTAATGAGGAAATGCCAAGGCTGAGTATATAATTCAGTACAATTTTCAAGGAGGCATTATAATGCAGATTGAAGTGGAAAGGACTGTCTTGAATATGTCAGAGTATAATATTACTCTCATAATTAGATGATCAACTGGTTATGAAAATTATTGAGCTGTAAGAATTACATGGCTTGATATGTAGTGCTGCTGAGCAAATGTACAATTTGATACATTATTCTGAGCAAAAAGTTGGGCAGAACGAAGCCACAAAGCACAGGTTTGGGTTGCCCTCAGGGAAAACTAATTTTAGAAGATTAAGTTTTGCCTGGAAATAGAATTCACTTTGTCAATAGCCAATGACATTGCAATCAAACCCATAGATTTAATGGTTTCGTGTGCTCCCTGCTTCATAACGGGACCCTGAGAAATCAGAGAAGGTTTTTTTTTTTTCCATAGAGACAGACCTTTCCCTTATGGCCCAGGGACCAGAGAGACAAATCACCCGGCAGTTTTATTCTGTAGGGGTTTGGAACGCCCGGAATTCTGCTTCAGTGTCATCAAATGAAAGGCAGCATTAATATTCACTTGCTGATCTGCAGCGTGCTTTAGGTGATCTTTACCTGAGTGCTAAAGCTTGATATCGATGGAAAGGTCTATAAAATGAATTTTCATGCTGAATCTATTGAGTGCTTATAAAAAAGCAGACTGGTAGCTGCTGACTCACTCATAAGACTTTGTCAGATATCTCAGAATCTGCATAAATCTCCATATAGTCAAGATATCTCGATCACATTATGCTAAATTATGAGTAGCAAATTAACTAAAATGTTTGAATACAATTAGGTTAGGAATAGGACCTATTTTTATGAACCAACTTATCATCTCAGAAAGAAACACCATTGTAATTGGATCACTTACTTCTTCTACATTTATGTATAATTCACATTCAAAAAGAAAAATGTCAATGTTTCTGCCTTTTCTTGCAGTGGATTTACTTATGAATAATTACACTGGAATTCGGATTTTTCTTAGCTTTGATTGACAGGTAATTCCAAATCCTACAGAATAGCACCGACACTGTTAGAACAGAGGGAGGATTTAGAGACAGAGGTTGTAAAATATCTCCTGTGCAGGGCTCCTGCACCTGGATTAGCCGGTGCATGACCTTATAAGCAGGGTTGCTAATTGTTCGTATATCTGCCACGGCTCTGCCCCTTCGCTTCCCCCCTCTCCCAAACGCTAAAGCTCCTTTTCACCATTCCCAGCACATGCCCCCAGCTTTCCACAGCCAAACCTCTCTGGGTGCTGCTCTTGCAGATACGCTTGCAGCCTTCAAAAATTACCATCAGTAAACGTTTCCTCCTTCCCCGTTAACTTCGTTAAGAGGCGATTTGGCAACCCTGTTCATGAATCATGCCACGCCGCGCGCCTCACCGGTCGCCGCATGCCGGCCATGCATATTAGTGCAATACAGATGTTACCGCCAGACAAACCGCACACACGGGCTGGCATGCTCTCCGAGGCCGATAGATAAATAGCTACTGTGTGGAGGGTGGGCAGGGAACTTTCTGAACAATAAACCATTTTGCTATTGTAGAAATACCATTTATTCAACCCGAGCTGTGCAGTTCTGCAGAGAAGTCAGGTGCTGCTCACGTGGAATCATCCAAGCGCAAAGCCCGTGCCCCCCATCACACAGTATCCGCTCTAATTAGTGCAGTAAAGATCTAAACAATACCAACATCTTGGGAAATACAGACATCTGTTAAACTCCAGGTGGTGAACTTCACAACTAACACAACACCACATTACTGTACTGTTACAATACACTGTGTCAAGAACAACAAGAGCTCTGGGTTAGTCTTGGTTATTACTGGAAAGGTTAACTTGGCTTCCCGGCACACATGGCGTTAAAGAAAAGAGGAGGAGAGCAAATGGACAAAAGAAGAATCAGCAGAACAAGAATGTGAGAAGATGGAGAAATACAGCAAAAGCCCACTACGAGACGTCAGGCTGTAACACAGGGTGTAAATCAAGCTGCGTCATGGTGGCTGGGGGCCAGGAGTGGTGGAAAGGGAGAAGCGGCTCAAATTTAGATATCGTTACACTGGAGAAAATCAGCTCAGACAGTGGAGCCTGAGCAATCTCCTCCTAACCCAGGTAGGAAGGAGACCTTGCAGCTGGTTGAGAGCTGGCTTGGGAGAATCCCACCTGCCCATTCATTCTGGGCGATGGTGGCTGAAGGGCAATGGGTGCCTGGCAGGGGGGGCACTCAGCTTTAATTTATCGTTTTCACAGGCTCTCAACTCAGGTTGTTTCCCAAGCAGACATTCTGTACTCCTCTTGGCATCATCCCATGGGAAGGAAGGAGACCTTGCAGCTGGTTGAGAGCTGGCTTGGGAGAATCCCACCTGCCCATTCATTCTGGGCGATGGTGGCTGAAGGGCAATGGGTGCCTGGCAGGGGGGGCACTCAGCTTTAATTTATCGTTTTCACAGGCTCTCAACTCAGGTTGTTTCCCAAGCAGACATTCTGTACTCCTCTTGGCATCATCCCATGGGATTGTAACTGATCCCTGTGGCAAGGGCTGGGAGGCAGAGCACGGCAGCCCCAGCCTGCATCCCAGGGGAGCCAAGCTCATCGCCATCCTCTCCTGCCCGTTTGGAAAGGCAATGAAAGGCAAATTGCTGTTGCAGGATAAACATTTCCCATTCCTGAGCCTGCTCCAGCTTCTCCCTTTGGCGATCGCAGCCCGGGTTTGGGGCATTAAGCCCCGTGCCGCTGACAGCTCTAGGATGTGACCTGCGGAATGGCACCCGTGAGCAGCAAAGCACCGCTGGAGGCACCCCTGGTTTTGCCGGGCAGTGCCACTGCCAGCTCCCGAGGGCT